CCATGACTGATCATCCAGGCTGTTGATGCTTGCAGTTAGCTCTAATACACAGGAACTGCAGCCTGATTGATTAAAAACCTATTTGATTAACATGAATTTCTCAGATGTTTTGTGGCCTTTCGGTAATTGCTTTGAAAAGTCTACGGATCTTCCAGGTAACTTAGTCAATATATCGCACATATTCAGCAGCATACACACCGTCTAGTCACTGACATCACTATATGTATGTTATATGTCCTTAATATGTTAAGGACATATACATACATACGTATATAACAGACATACAACATACCATATATATAACATACCTATTATATGTATGTCTTTAAATCACTGTGCAGCAATTGCATAAAAGTAGTGTGCATGTGGCGTGCAACATAAACTCTGCAGCAGCTCTCAACAATTCACGGGAGAGCGCCCAAGAGGCCGCCAAGTACTGCCATAAAGTACACCAACAGCCAACAAAAACAGGTTAAGCTGGCTGAGTTAGAGTGAGGAGCGTCGCCTCTCACAGGAGGAGCGGGCCTCCAGCGCCGGGAAGCTGGAGCCGTCGGCGTCCAGGAAGATGTTGACGCTCCCTGGGGGGGGGTAACCTACGCCACACTTTCCCAAGAATGACACGTGAAAAAGAAAGAGAGAGAGAGAGATCTGTGGATATATAACTTTGGAAGACCTTGTTGTCGTCGTCCCCCGGCGCAGACCTACACCCCCCACCACGACTCCAGTTTCCTCCGGTCGTCCACGCCCAACCAGCCGGCACGTGTGTACAGGTCACCACTCCTTTGAGTCACTTGAGGTTTCCACCCTTGGAGCCTCTCCGGCTTCACGTGGGGAAGAGAGTGGTGCGCACAGCGGCCGAGGAACTTAGACCCGTCCATTAGTTCCTGGCTGGGCCCCTCCCTAACTCCATGATGTCGCCGGGAACCTGGACATGTTATAGTTGTTTCTGTTTCTCCGTATCCCCACCATCGCCTGCTCCCTCACAACACGGCAATATGCAACACTCTATGGCGCACCGAGAGCGCCTGGAAGCCTGCTAGCGGGCAGGATTTTTGACCCTACTGGCGGGAATTTGACTTTTATAAGCCAACCGGCCAGTAATGACTAGTCTCCACACTGACAACACAACGATATATATATATATATATATATATATATATATATATATATATATATATATTCTTCGCGCCAATTTCACATAACGATCAAAGCTAAATTGGGACAAAATGTATGCGATAAATATGGCCCATGCTTTAGCAAGGCGTAAATAACACAGTGTTGGTATCACTACTTGACGAGGGCGGGAGATGCGGGTAAGCGGGAGTGTGGAGCACCACGATGTGGTTCAGGGGGGTGTGGAGCACCACGATGTGGTTCAGGGGGGTGTGGAGCACCACGATGTGGTTCAGGGGAGTGTGGAGCACCACGATGTGGTTCAGGGGGGTGTGGAGCACCACGATGTGGTTCAGGGGGGTGGAGCACCACGATGTGGTTCAGGGGAGTGTGGAGCACCACGATGTGGTTCAGGGGGGTGTGGAGCACCACGATGTGGTTCAGGGGGGTGTGGAGCACCACGATGTGGTTCAGGGGGGTGTGGAGCACCACGATGTGGTTCAGGGGAGTGTGGAGCACCACGATGTGGTTCAGGGGGGTGTGGAGCACCACGATGTGGAGCAGAAAAGGGAGGTGTGGAGGTCGCCAGGTGAGGCGCTAGGGGTTGATGCTTCAAGATCCCAGAGATAGCTATTAAGGTATCGCTTGTTTGGGAAGCCTGGATCAACGTAAGCATGTGTTGGACTGACTCACAAACCTTACAGCTACATTGACTCTATCACACCTGTTTCCATATTAGAGCCGCGTTGACTCTAGCCTCTGAAGATGCAATCACTAGCCGTAAGATGTAGGCTACAGCCGGTGGCTCAGCGGGCAGAGCACTGTTCGCGTGATCCTGTAGTCCCGGGTTCGATCCAGGGCGCCGGCGAGAAACAATGGGCAGAGTTTCTTTCACCCTGATGCTCCTGTAACCTAACAGTAAACAGGTATCTGGGAGTTAGTCAGCTGTCACGGGCTGCTTCCTAAGGGTGGAGGCCTGGTCGAGGACCGGGCCGCGGGGACACTAAGCCCCGAAATAATCTCAAGATAATCTCTCAAGATAAGATACAGCGACAGTTACTTTAGAATTAAAAAAAAAAAGAAGTTGTAGAGAAGTCCAGTATAGCCTACATCTAGTCCCTTAGAGCCCTATAATCAAGGGCTCAATCACCCCTACAATAAACATACAATAAGGAATGTTTATATCTACTGGATTGGCAAACGATCCAAGGACAATATTAAGTATTCTATTCTATTGTAGCCGCGTTTTGACTGCCTTACTGAAGCCTAATATAAAGTAACATAATGGATATGAAGGAACGTAATCATTCTAGCCCAGTTCAACATTATTAGGCTTAGTGAAGCCTAATATAAACTAATTTCCCTGGCTCCGTATTTGTTGATTATCTAACATCTCCGCAATGTTAAAACTATCTAATTCTGTACCAGCATCCAGGAGCTGGTACGTGGTTGGTATTACACTCTTCCACCTGATGTTTCAGCTTCATTCTTACACTCTTCCACCTGATGTTTCAGCTTCATTCTTACACTCTTCCACCTGATGTTTCAGCTTCATTCTTACACTCTTCCACCTGATGTTTCAGCTTCATTCTTACACTCTTCCACCTGATGTTTCAGCTTCATTCTTACACTCTTCCACCTGATGTTTCAGCTTCATTCTTACACTCTTCCACCTGATGTTTCAGCCCTATTCTTACACTCTTCCACCTGATGTTTCAGCCCCATTCTTCCACTCTTCCACCTGGTGTTTCAGCCCCATTATTCCACTCTTCCACCTGGTGTTTCAGCCCCATTCTTACACTCTTCCACCTGATGTTTCAGCTTCATTCTTACACTCTTCCACCTGATGTTTCAGCCTCATTCTTACACTCTTCCACCTGATGTTTCAGCCCCATTCTTACACTCTTCCACCTGGTGTTTCAGCCCCATTCTTACACTCTTCCACCTGATGTTTCAGCCTCATTCTTACACTCTTCCACCTGATGTTTCAGCCTCATTCTTACACTCTTCCACCTGGTGTTTCAGCCCCATTCTTAGCTCATCCACATGATGTCTGTGTGACGTCTCCTGTCTCTCTCTGTTCAGTTTTGCTGACGTTAAAGTCAGCTCCTCTCATCATATATTCATGCCCCCATCGTTCACAGGTCTGGTGCAAGCCTCGTTGGAAACCTATGTATCCTTTCAAGTCTCCTGATGAGTTTTTTGGCAAGGTTGCAAATTCTCCAAGTGATGTCACATGCGCAGGCTTCTGAATGTTCCCTATGGGGGAGGGGGAAGACGCAGTGTTATATTTACTTAATTGATATTACATTACTCGGTGTAATTATATAATTATATAATTACCTATTCTAGGTATTTTTCTTTATTTCAAGAAAAATGGCTTCTCTCTGTGTGTGTCCGCCTGCGTTCCTCTCTCGCTCTCACCATTTTCACCACCTTCTTGGTATTGAATTCCAGCAACTATTTCTCGGAACCAGCTTTGCAGTCTCACTATACCTTCCTGGAGAATTCTGATATCTTTTTTCCATTTGTTTTGACGAGCTTGAGTTCCAGCTCACGGGTCTCTGCTTTCGTTCCTTCATTCGAGTGGTGTAATTATTCCATACCCCTTTTGGGTTCAGTAATATTTGCTTTCTAATACAAGTATGGGATCTGATTCCTCTATGTTACCCTCTAGTTAAGGTCACTTCTTTACTATCAACACAGCAGCAACAGTAACATCAACACAGCATCAACATCACCGAGAGAGGCTGCAACATCACCAAGAGAGGCTGGAACACTATGCAATATGGCGTACCTGGTTCCTTAACCACTCGACCACCGTGACTGTACAAAAGTCCTTGGTAGCCGAGGCTATATCCCCAACGACCCGACAGCACTTGGTGGTAAGCTCGGACATAGATATTTCATCGAATCACCTCACTTTGTGGGGCCACGTGAGCAACACAAATGTGAACAAGCTTGAATGGTCCCTACGCCAATATGCAACTGTTCACATTTGTGTTGCTCACGTGGCCCCACAAAGTGAGGTGATTCGATGAAATATCTATGTCCGAGCTTACCACCAAGTGCTGTCGGGTCGTTGGGGATGTATCCTCGGCTACCAAGGACTTTTGTAGTCACGGTGGTCGAGTATATATATATATATATATATATATATATATATATATATATATATATATATATATATATATATATGCAGAAAAATCACGTTAAAAATAGAGAATGGTAAATGTGTTTTCGGCTTAATTCGCATTCATCAGAGCATTTTAGAGTGAAGAAGGAAACGTGGATGACAACCTTATATCCGCCAGGGCAGGTCACCTGACCACTAAGAACATATGAATAAAGGCCTATTGACCTACATACAAGAATAAGAAAGGGGGGGGGGGTGAAACATACAGATAAAAGGGGACAAAAAAGGGGTTAAATGGATGCTATATTGTATTGACGTGCTATATTGAAGCTTATATGAGGATTTGTACATACCAGGGCTCACATTAAGGCTGTTGTTACATTGTTTGATCTGAGCGGACTCAATCACATTTCGTTCAACGAAACCCTTACTTTTAACGATACATTTCGCCCCTCTGAAGTCGATAGAATGATCACATAAACTGGAATGTAAATACAATGCACTGGAGTGCTGGGCTGTACGAATAGCATATGAATGTTGTTTTAAACGTGAAGAAAGAGATTTGCCAGTCTGGCCGATGTAAACTCATGCAGACTCACTACAAGGGATGGAGTACACAACCTGCTACAGACGAGGGAGAGTTCTTAATTAACATGGACTTAACTGTATTATCATTTTTGAACACTGGGTTAATATTAAGGTTTTTCAGGGCTGGGGCAAGATGTACAAGATCATCAAAATATGGTAATACCAACGAGCTTTTAATTTCTGGCTTAGACTTGGGAGCTTGTTTGTAGAACGTCCTTTTTTGTTTGACTAAACCTGAAATCCAAGACCGATTTTGGGTATTTTAACTACTTCCCAATTTCAAATATTTGTTGTTATTTCTTCATCAAAACATTCCAGGCTGCAAAGTCTCAGGGTTCTGAGAAATATTATAGAAAATACTGCACGCTTAACCTGAACATGATGGTTTGAGTACAAATGAACATATGATAAGGATAAGCGGGCAGTATTTTCTGGAATGTTTCTCAGAGCCCTCAAAGTTTGCAGCCCGGATTTTTTTGATAAATTCGTCATAATTTATAAATGACGTCATTATGCTCAGTCCGGTACAGGGTGTAGGTCCTATACCGGTGTGGCCAGGACCTGATGTACTGGTGTGGCCAGGACCTGATGTACTGGTGTGGCCAGGACCAGATGTACCAGTGTGGCCAAGACCAGATGTACCAGTGTGGCCAGGACCTGATGTACTGGTGTGGCCAGGACCTGATGTACTGGTGTGGCCAGGACCAGATGTACCAGTGTGGCCAAGACCAGATGTACCAGTGTGGCCAGGACCTGATGTACTGGTGTGGCCAGGACCTGATGTACTGGTGTGGCCAGGACCTGATGTACTGGTGTGGCCAGGACCTGATGTACTGGTGTGGCCAGGACCTGATGTACCGGTGTGGCCAGGACCTGATGTACCGGTGTGGCCAGGACCTGATGTACTGGTGTGGCCAGGACCTGATGTACTGGTGTGGCCAGGACCTGATGTACCGGTGTGGTCAGGACCTGATGTACTGGTGTGGCCAGGACCTGATGTACTGGTGTGGCCAGGACCTGATGTACTGGTGTGGCCAGGACCTGATGTACCGGTGTGGCCAGGACCTGATGTACTGGTGTGGCCAGGACCTGATGTACTGGTGTGGCCAGGACCTGATGTACTGGTGTGGCCAGGACCTGATGTACTGGTGTGGCCAAGACCAGATGTACCAGTGTGGCCAGGACCTGATGTACCGGTGTGGCCAGGACCTGATGTACCGGTGTGGCCAGGACCTGATGTACCGGTGTGGCCAGGACCTGATGTACTGGTGTGGCCAAGACCAGATGTACCAGTGTGGCCAGGACCTGATGTACCGGTGTGGCCAGGACCTGATGTACCAGTGTGGCCAGGACCTGATGTACCGGTGTGGCCAGGACCTGATGTACCAGTGTGGCCAGGACCTGATGTACCGGTGTGGCCAGGACCTGATGTACTGGTGTGGCCAGGACCTGATGTACTGGTGTGGCCAAGACCTGATGTACCAGTGTGGCCAGGACCTGATGTACCAGTGTGGCCAGGACCTGATGTACTGGTGTGGCCAGGACCTGATGTACCGGTGTGGCCAGGACCTGATGTACTGGTGTGGCCAGGACCTGATGTACCAGTGTGGCCAGGACCTGATGTACCAGTGTGGCCAGGACCTGATGTACTGGTGTGGCCAGGACCTGATGTACTGGTGTGGCCAGGACCTGATGTACCGGTGTGGCCAGGACCTGATGTACTGGTGTGGCCAGGACCTGATGTACTGGTGTGGCCAGGACCTGATGTACCAGTGTGGCCAGGACCTGATGTACCAGTGTGGCCAGGACCTGATGTACCGGTGTGGCCAGGACCTGATGACCACTCTCTCACTGAGGGGAACGTTCAGGGAGAGACACTGGTTATTGATTAGTTACCCTGGCAGTATTGATCTCATACCGTATATTCAATGGTCAATAATCCTCTCCCGCCACGCGTTTCTCAAGTTAACGAACTGGTAGATTGGTAGACGGGTAGACAAGTTGATGGTTGACGTGTGTTGGGTAGAAAAGTAACCTTAAGTGTTTTATTTTAAAAATATAAAGTATGGGGTGCACAATAAACTAGCAATCCCAGGATGAGTATGGGGTGCACAATAAACTAGCAATCCCAGGATGGGTATGGGGTGCACAATAAACTACCAATCCCAGGATGGGTATGGGGTGCACAATAAACTACCAATCCCAGGATGAGTATGGGGTGCACAATAAACTACCAATCCCAGGATGGGTATGGGGTGAACAATAAACTATCAATCACGGGATGAGTATGGGGTGCACAATAAACTACCAATCCCAAGATGGGTATGGGGTGCACAATAAACTACCAATCTCAGGATGAGTATGGGGTGCACAATAAACTACCAATCCCAGGACGAGGCAGGCCTACACCTCCCAGTGCCAATACCCCTGGAGCCAGAGCCAGAGCAGTGCCAAACAAACACAGCAACAGGGTTACATGGCTCTATAATCACTCTGTCCTCCTAAGGTGACCCAACGCCAAGAAAATGTCGTACTAAAGTGCCCCCTATCCTAACCTACGTGAGGACCCAAAACAGAAAACGAGACAGTATGTCAATTTTGCCAGCCGTTTCCATTTTCTAGTACCAGGATTTTTGGCCTTAGGTAGAGTGTACGTCAAAATGCGACGTTCTATAAGGAGTACGGATTGCTCATAGTCCGGGACAGGAAGCCTGTTGGGTTTATCTAACCTATCCCAGGATGAAACCCTACAACATTTGCCAAACTCCCGGATACCCATTTACTGCTAGGTGAACAGAGGCATCATGTTAGAAACAAAATTTCCCGATCGCTTCTGCCCCTGCCGCAGGAATTGAACCATTACGTTTCGGTTGTGATTGGAGTGCGCTGACCACTGCGCCTCAGGACCCAATACTATTAGTTTGGGAGGGCGGCGGGAACTTGCCCGACCGACCTCTTGACTCCTCTTCAAGAGGCTCATCTCTCCCTCCAGACTCCTAACGACTGCACTTACACTTATATTACTCCAGCCCTAAACTTACCCCGTCTGTCTTTCCCTTGTGTGTGGAATACATATATCTGCTTTGTCCCCACCACATGTGAATATGTATGACCCTTGTTGTCCTCAGAGTAATTCCCCAGCCTGAACACCACTTGTGTTCTGAGTGTCTCAGTGAGTGCCTGGGTGACGGTCACTGTGGCTGGGGGAGGGGGTGTTATGCCTGGTGGGTGAGGCTGGGGAGGGGGTGTTATGCCTGGTGGGTGAGGCTGGGGAGGGGGTGTTATGCCTGGTGGGTGAGGCTGGGGAGGGGGTGTTATGCCTGGTGGGTGAGGCTGGGGGCGGGGGTGTTATGCCTGGTGGGTGAGGCTGGGGGAGGGGGTGTTATGCCTGGTGGGTGAGGCTGGGGAGGGGGTGTTATGCCTGGTGGGTGAGGCTGGGGAGGGGGTGTTATGCCTGGTGGGTGAGGCTGGGGAGGGGGTGTTATGCCTGGTAGGTGAGGCTGGGGAGGGGGTGTTATGCCTGGTGGGTGAGGCTGGGGAGAGGGTGTTATGCCTGGTGGGTGAGGCTGGGGAGGGGGTGTTATGCCTGGTGGGTGAGGCTGGGGAGAGGGTGTTATGCCTGGTGGGTGAGGCTGGGGAGGGGGTGTTATGCCTGGTGGGTGAGGCTGGGGAGAGGGTGTTATGCCTGGTGGGTGAGGCTGGGGAGGGGGTGTTATGCCTGGTGGGTGAGGCTGGGGGTGAGGCTGGGGAGGGGTGTTATGCCTGGTGGGTGAGGCTGGGGAGGGGGTGTTATGCCTGGTGGGTGAGGCTGGGGAGGGGGTGTTATGCCTGGTGGGTGAGGCTGGGGAGGGGGTGTTATGCCTGGTGGGTGAGGCTGGGGAGGGGGTGTTATGCCTGGTGGGTGAGGCTGGGGAGGGGGTGTTATGCCTGGTGGGTGAGGCTGGGGAGAGGGTGTTATGCCTGGTGGGTGAGGCTGGGGGAGGGGGTGTTATGCCTGGTGGGTGAGGCTGGGGAGAGGGTGTTATGCCTGGTGGGTGAGGCTGGGGAGGGGGTGTTATGCCTGGTGGGTGAGGCTGGGGAGAGGGTGTTATGCCTGGTGGGTGAGGCTGGGGAGAGGGTGTTATGCCTGGTGGGTGAGGCTGGGGAGGGGGTGTTATGCCTGGTGGGTGAGGCTGGGGAGGGGGTGTTATGCCTGGTGGGTGAGGCTGGGGAGGGGGTGTTATGCCTGGTGGGTGAGGCTGGGGAGGGGGTGTTATGCCTGGTGGGTGAGGCTGGGGAGGGGGTGTTATGCCTGGTGGGTGAGGCTGGGGAAGGGGTGTTATGCCTGGTGGGTGAGGCTGGGGAGGGGGTGTTATGCCTGGTGGGTGAGGCTGGGGAGGGGGGGCTCCTCATATACAACGTCTACAAGCCCTCTAGACGTAAACTAGAAGCAGAAGCAGTGCTTGCCTTGACCACGCACGACAATATAATTATTGCTGGGTATTTTAATGCTCATCATCAAGAGTTAGGTGCAACTAGGCCAGTCAATGCAGATGGGCGCCATGTAGCTGCGGCTCTGCGAGAAGTACCTGAAATTACACTTCTCAACACTGGGGAACCCACAAACATTCAAGGTGGTTCCCTTGATCTTACATTAATCCTAACAGCTCTCACGCAACAGACGAAGTGGGAGGTAGACCCGGTGATCACCAGTGACCACTATGCTACTGTCACAACACTAAACATAGAACCACCTCCTACACCACCTGCACAACCTAGGTAGAATTTCAAAAAGGCCAACTGGAATATATACCAAGAGGAACTTGAGAAATAGTATATTGCATACACGCCACCTGAGGATTTAAACATACACGAGACCAATCTGCAGGAAGCCATTGCAGCTGCGGCAAACAAAGCTCTTCCAATCATTATCCCAGGAAACACAAAACGAAAAAACTATTGGTTCTATAGTAATGAAGTTAAAGAACAGAACCACAGAGTCAACATCTTCAGAAAACATCTAAAGAGAAACCCCACACCAGAAGGAAGAACTCTGCTAAGAGCGGTGATATCTGAAGCAAGACGAGTTTCTAGAGAGGTAAAGGAGGCAAGATAGTTTGAGTGGTGTCAAACTCTAAATGAACATAGTAGTCTTGCAAGTTATGAGGCCAGATTAAAACCATATCAGGTCGACCAGCCCGACCACAGGCATGTTTTCAACTATTGCAGGAGGCTGAGAGACTTGCTCTCCAATTTGCTGAAAGAGCAGCTTCATATCAGCTTCCTGCAATGGTCAAAAGGTAGCAAGAACAATTAAAACAAGAGAGGTTGACAGCCATTCATGAGAGCATAACTACAAATTACAAATGTGACTGTCCCTTCATCAAACAAGAATTAATCAGAGCCAAAAAAAAGGTGGTAAGGACACTGCACCAGGTGCTGATAACATTACATACTCAATGGTCGCACATGCAGGTCCTGCTGGAGAACAAGGAATATTGGACGTCATCAATCCGTCATCTTGGCAGCAAGGCAAACTACCGACCCCTTGGAAGAAAGCAGACATCATACCGATTCCTAAGCCGAAAGAACCTGGCAATTACAGACCCAATTTATTAACATCAATCATTAGTAAAACTGCAGAACGGATGGTCTTAAATAGTCTCTTGTGGAAGACTGGAGACCTTCATAAACACATATTTGGCTTCACTAGAGGAGTAGGTACTGCCAACTGCATAGCAACATAACTAGGAACAGTTAACTCAGGTCCAGCTACAGTGATCTTCCTTGATCTAGAAAAAGCATTCGAACTTGCAAGCCCGCAAGCAATACTACACACCTTAGTTAAAAAAGGAGTAAAGGGAAATATGCTAGCATGGATTCAAGATTACCTTCCTTCTTGAGGTTATCTTGAGATGATTTCGGGGCTTTTAGTGTTCCCGCGGCCCGGTCCTCGACCAGGCCTCCACCCCCAGGAAGCAGCCCGTGACAGCTGACTAACACCCAGGTACCTATTTTACTGCTAGGTAACAAGGGCACCAGGGTGAAAGAAACTCTGCCCATCGTTTCTCGCCGGCGCCCGGGATCGAACCCTGGACCACAGGATCACGCGTCCAGTGTTCTATCCGCTCAGCCACCGGCTACCTTAGACACAAGTATGCCAGAGTAAAGTTGCAAGGACAAGTGTCGGACTACCACTTGCATGAGAATGGGACTCCACAAGGAGGAGTCCTCAGTCCTAGTCTTTTTAACATCCTTATGGAAAACCTCGTTACCATGACATTTGCAGAAGGGGTTAAATTGCTAAGCTATGCTGATGATATAGCATTAGTCATTACAGGTCCTTCACTTCTAAATAAAGCACAAGGGACGTTAAATAAAGTAACATCTAAATGCAGCATTTTATGGCTAAAAATATCTGAAGTCTAAGGCAGTGAGACTAGGCGGCAACACTCCAGACAGGCACCTACACATTCAAGACATTAACCTTCAGTGGGTTGCACAATATCAATATCTCGGAGTGTGGATAGATTCTAAAATGGCGTTCAACAAACAAATTCAATATCTGAAGAAGAAAGCAAAATCATGACACAAAGTGTTAAAAATGTACTAATCCACAAGGGCCGTGATGAGGGTTCGAACCTACCTCCGAAAGGATCCTAGACGCACCTTAATCGTCTGTGCCACGACATGGTAAAAGAATTGCAACCGGGAGTTCTAATGACCTCACGTGGATTCTGCAGTCTCTTCGAGACTCACACCAGAGTTTTACACAATTCATTTGATGCATCACGCTATTGTGATTTCTGTGTGTAATGAAGTAAGGGCGAAGAGGTAGAACAGCTTGTTGACAGAGCCCGGGTGCATGGGGG